ACATTACTTTTTTCAATCTCAGTGTCGTAATTTTTTTCGTCCCTAATTTTGAATGTAAATCAATTAGTACTTTTTTTCTCTTTTTTCTGAAACAAAGTTTTTTTTCCTCAAATTTTTTTTTTAGAATCAATCTATTTTTTTTAAATCGGCCCTGGTGTGCTGTCGTAAATTCATGGGAGTTGTCCGTTGTTATTCTGCGGTTTACCTGTTTTAATGTACTATTAAATTATTTATTTATGTATTTCTCTGTGATGAGTGTTCTTGCGTTTTTTTGTACTGTATTCATGTCAAGAAGTTAAGTGGTATTTTTAATTTACATTGCCATATAAGCGGGAGGTTTGTCTAGCCATAAAACCAGGTTCAATCCACCATTTTTTTTATTAGAATGTCCTGTACCAAGTCAGGAATATGGCAGTTGTTATCTACAGTCCGTTTCTATGTATGTTGGCGTTTGCTTTTTTTTTGTAGTTCAGTGTTTCTGTTGTTTCGTTGTTTTCCACGTATAGTTGGTGTGTTTCCCTCGGTTTTAGTTTGGTACCCGGATTCGTTTTTGCTTAATCGAATTATGACTACTGTTGCCTTTACTTGTCTATCTCGACTATTATGTGTCATTAAACAAATCAAGAAAAATAAAATAATAGATGAAGAAGATGTGGTATGAGTGCCAATAAGACAACTCTCCATCCAAGTCAAAATTTATAAAAGTAAACCATTATAGGTCAAAATACGGTCTTCAACACGGAGCCTTGGCTCACACCGAACAGCAAGCTATAAAGGGCCCTAAAAATTACTAGTGTAAAACCATTCAAACGGGAAAACCAACGGTCTAATCTATATAAAAAACGAGAAACGAGAAACACTCATGAAACACATCAACAAACGATAACTACTGATCATCAGATTCCTGACTTAGGACAGGTACAAACAATTGCAGCGGGTTTAAGCGATTAAACAGGCGCCAACCTTCACCCTTATCTGAAACAATAGTGTAACATCACAACATAGAAAGACACACTATAAAATATCAACTGAAATGGCTTAACTCAATCAAAGGACATATTTTAAAACACCAGTGAACATACACTGAACAAATAAATTTGATCTATGATACAATGTAAATACAAAATAAATAAGCTAAGGGAAGCATAATAAAAGTAACATATTATACCGCTGTGAAATGTTAAACAATTTAAGAAAAACAATATGCTCGAACAAAAATATCAGCCATTTACAATTTAAGAAAAACAATATGATCGAACAAAAATATCAGCCATTTGCAATTACTTTAAACACAGGTAAATGAAAATAATTTTGTTGTTAGGTATATGTGTACAGTTCAAATAGAGAAAGGAAATATTTTTAAAAAATAAATAATTTTGATGTTCATAGTACGAAGTGAAAATTTATAGTAATACCAAACACTTATCAAAGCTGGTATATAGACCAGATATAACCCTGAATAACATTAAATAACAAAAAAGCATTACAATTAGTACCAACAGGTCAAATAAACAAGAAAGTACGATTTGAGAGTACTCGCAGTTACTGACAGCTAGTTAAAAGCCAAAAACAATTAATAATAAAAAATCATGCATCAGAGACTAAAATCAACTAAAACACATCCCAGGGATTTAGTATTTTAACGTCATGGACAGTAAGCAGTTATAATTTACACAACGTTACTTTTTTTCAATATAAACATTCAATTTTTGTTTTTAATTTAAAACATCTTTACAAAGACCACATTGTGACTTCGAGTACAACCATGAAAGCACTTTTCTTTCTCCTGTTGTTAGTTTCACTCAGTTATTTTGTGTCATGAATTGGTATGAATGTCATCTCGTATGTTTTTGTATATGAAGGAAAGGGGATTCGGTTGTGTCTTATACGTCAATGAGACACAAACAAAAGACAAAAAATTTAAAAAAAAAGGGCAACATTCACTCTTCAACAATGAAATACGTTACACGAAAATAAGTTTTGTAAGTAAAAGGCCTAAATTCGTGAGATACAAGAATGATATATCGACGAGAACTGCAATTTAGTTTGTGACTATAATTATCTTTGGTCAAAGAGACAAAAAGGATCACACACACGTGTAACGTTTTTCCATTTACATAAAAGCATAATACAAACAGAAATGGCTTTTAGTTAATTAGATATACATATAGATAATATATATATAAATAGAGACAATTGAGTTGTGTAGTACTTGAATATCCAAGGCAAGCTAATCATATGAGTTCTCTATATGACTGAATGATTCAAACAATGATCCATGTGAAAAATATCCAGTTAAAAAATAATGAATATTTTCATTGTCCGGAACCCTTTTCACAAACCAATCCTATGCATTGAATAAATGATAGGCTACTCTTTAAATGATCGCAACGTGGGAGTATTTTATCTCTTAAGATATTTTGTGAATTAACCACATCAACTTAAAGTTTTTTTAACAATGAAAATCGGAATGTGTAAATGTATTTTTCGATTATCTAATGATATTAGCTCTGAACATTTATTATTCTCTAAAATAAAACTGTTGTGTGTGTGCTGATATAAAGAATATTTGAAAAAAATTCCTTTAAAATTTTGTGAAAAGAGTTTCATTTTATGTATCGAAATGTGTGACAAGTGATTATTTAAATAACCACTGGAAGGCCTCTAACAGACTGAGTGAGCGTAAAATCATTGTTATCGATAGCCGATGTCAAGCAAGTTAAAGGAAAACGATTCAGTATTAACAACGTAAGTGTAACGGTTGTCCACACTGTTGTACGTGATTACTCTATTGTATATTCTGAAAAAAAAAAGAAAAAACATTATGTCATTACTTAACTTGAAGTCACATTGTACAAAACACGATATCGTGATATAGAACAATTTTGTGATTGTCATGTAAATTTACACTTTATAGAAATTCGATAGTTAATGCTGAAACAATTGTATAAATACAATTAAACATCAACTTAAAGCGTCAATTGCTGGAGGTTAGTGGATAAGTTGATAACACAGATTATATCATTCTTTTACAATAAAGGATACTATTCCTGATAATCAAGTAGGTACTCGTTTGTTTTAATGAAAAAAAACGTTAATACATTTTATTTTATATATCTGTTCATGTAAAATGATTTTTTACATTGATAAAACATTTTAAAATGTTTAAAAATCTTCAAAAAATGTTTTATATTTATTTTATATAAAAGGATAGAAACGTCAAGATTTTTCAAAATGTATGCACTATTATTATTTTTGACAATCTACATTTAAACTAAACTGTCGTCGAGTTTTCTAAGAAAAAAAGATTTACATGGGAGAATCATGTTGTGTTGAATCGACAAGGTACAAGACTCATAATGTAAAACGTCGTCAAATTCGGTTTTTCTTTTACAGCGCGTAAATATTCTGAAAGTAAATAGAGGCATTTTGTCCTCTTTAAAATTCTTTTTACAAACCTATCAAATTATAGAATAGAAGCATTCAATTTTTATAATTACATTTATATGCTTCAACCATGAATTTACGATTTATATCAAGTTTTTTCATTTGTTTTCCTATGCGTTTTTTTTACGTTGTCGTGATAATCATTTCATGGATAAAATATGAATTAATGTATAAGACTATTTTTTTTATATTTTTTGTGGGTCGAATCAATACACGAAATTGGTCTTCCTACTGGTATCTTCCCTAGTTTCACTTTTTTCAATCAACGGACAGCTCACTTAATGCACAACTAAGGGCAACAATAAAGTTGCATGCATACGATATAATAGGGTCGAATTATTGATTTGCAAGACAAATAATATATCAGCGATGGTTTTTGAGCTTTTTTTTACCAAATTTAACGGAACTGTAGCTGTTTCATAATACGAATTAGTATGTCCATATTCGGCTTTTATTAATGTTGGAAACAAAACAAAAGTTCATAATTATTTGCTTGTCTTAATCGTTGCTAATGTCAATTAAACAATTTAGGTTATTCTGTTAATACCAAAAAATAGGTTTTATGGTCTTCGGTGTTTTATATTCTTTGATTTCCATTTTTTGGTTTTTGTTTCGAACGTACCGGATGAAAATAATCAAATCTGGTTACCTGTGTACGAAAATCGTCACGATTTTCTTAATATGAAATTGATAACCAACTCTATATATTAATATTCCTGCATCATTTTTATATAATAACATTACATGTATGTTTCACGAGAATCCGTTAGTTTGATTGGCGCGTCATTCAAAAATTAACCTTTATATCAAAATGAAATGTTACATTCGTAATAACATGTGCTTCCACAAAAAAGTGCACAGGTAAATAAAATAAAAACTTGATCAAACTTTGTTTTTCATGGTCTTAGCATAAAAATGTAATTATAAGAAATGAATGCTTCTTTTAGTAATTTGATATTAGATCTTGATAGCTCCATACAAAATGTGCTTCGGTTAACACTTTACACCCCAATAAAATTACAAATAGGAGCATTCATTTCTTGAATAATTACATTACATCTATGTTTCATTATAATACGTTATTTTGATTGGCTAACAGCAATCTCGAGTCATTCTGAAATTAGCCTTCATTTCAAAATGAAATGTAATATTCATGACGAAAAGAGCTTCCACGATAAAGTGCACAGGTAAATAAAAGAAAAACTTGATAAAAATCGTGTTTTCATGATCCTAGCAAAAAAAATGTAATTATAAGTATTGAATGCTTCTTTTCGTAATTTTATAGGATTGTAAAAGCGTTGACCATTCTCACATTTTTATAATGAAGCGCTTCTGCGCTTCATACAAAATGTACTTCGGTCAACTTTTTTACACCCCAAAAATTTATAAAAAGAAGCATTCAATTCTTAAATGAAGTATTTCTCTCCGAGATGAAACTATATGTAAGGGTTTGATTGCTTTCATTGTCAATAATTATATTGAAAGGTTGTTCAAATAATATAGAACATTATAAAATGTCAATGTCTAATAATTTACCTATTCCTTTGTAATTACAGACACAGCATCATGAAGATCTGTTATATGTGTTATTGTCTTTTCATACTGTTGTAAGTATTTGAAATTGATCACAATTACACACAACCATTTTTATCTTAGTACATCCCATACACATCTAGGAAAACTATTGATTAAAAGCGCACACATGAGAACCGTGTATGTGTTAAAATTGTGATATCAAGGTTAATATCTACGCCTAAATTTCCCATGCTAAGATATTCGGTAAAATAAATTCTTTACACAGTGTGCTTGGGAACTGATACGATATATAAGTAGTCACTAAGTTCCATATGGGGCTCAAGCTTCGCTCGCTCTCGCTCCATATGGAAATTACTGACCCCGTATCCTTTCGAATGTTTATTACATCAAGCAGAGCTACAGACTGTTCTGTGAGATTGCAGGTGGTCGTACAACTCACTTTGAAAATTTTGGAACCAGAATGAATATATAGAGAAATGGGGACTATATATATATGGAGATAGGCGAATGCAATAATAATTGGGGATAAGTTTGATATGCGCGTTCGTTGTGTATTTAAAAATACCATAGCTTACCGTTCCGTTAAGTCATAGTTTCTCACGGATTCGAGCGTTCCAGATGAATATAAACCTACAAAATCTCTTTGGATGAATAAAATTTAAAAAGTGGCATTTCATTTACGCAATCTTTTAACGTGTAAGTAGTAAAATACATCGATAAAAATCAAATTTTACGGCTTAAAAGGGCACACACCGGGTATCCCAATCCGAAATCAGCAGGGATCTGATCTAAATTTTACTTACCCACCGTTTTAGGTCTCGTGTAATTTTTCCTCGGGATTCGGGTACCCGGTGTGTGACATTAGTTGTCAAATTCATGTTTACTAATTCTCATATTAGATTTATAACATACTAAAAGATGTATCCAGATTATTAAAAGTCCAAAAGAAACAATTAACAGTGCATGAACTCGCTATAATGTATCAGCAGTTGGAGCGTATTTTAGACTAGACTCCATCTGATTATCCATCGAAATGACCTCCGAAGACTGCCGACCGTCATATAACCCGATATAAATATAAATGTAAATATAAAGAGACAGACAAGCACGTGCAATCGTGTAATGACGATTGTTCTAGGTCTGTTTGATTTCATGTTATAGGTTAAAGAATATATGTAAATCGGCGTTTCACCTTTATAAGAATGATTTTTTATGGACCGGATCAGTCAACGAAATGGTTGTTGTTTGTATCTTTTGAATGAATAAATATGCTAATGACATGCGCAACCCATCTCCACTAATTTAAGGTCAATTAAAGGTTGCATGAATACGGGCTCAGAGTAGTTTGAATTACTGACTTTCAAGCCAATAATAAACCAGCGATGTTTTTTTTTTTTTAACTTATTTTCAAATAGATTGTTAATAGCGAAATATTATTTCTACGTTCCGCTTTTATAAATGTTTAAAATAAAAAATAATATATTTTATTTTTTGTCTTAGTTGTAATGCCCCTTGTCACTTATTTCGATATTTCGACGTTATGTGGTATTGTTTCACCATGAAAACCATTTTGACAGATGTAATAGTATATCAAAAATAAAATAATAGAAAGAAAACAACAAAGTCGGTGGCAATATGATTATTTGACATCAACAAAATGGAAAATAATCAGGCAACAAATATATAAAAAATATAGGGTTTGAGAAAGAATTTTATTTAAGATACGTTTTAGACTTTTGTCCATTTTACATACATCTACAATAAAAAGCTGCTTTCAATAAAAAAAAATGCAAAAATATATAACATTTGAAATGATTATATTTTCAATTAGAGTACAACATGCCCAAGTTGTATGCAAGCTTTTCAAAAAAATCTGTGACATTGTTCATTTACTGTCACTTGACGTTGACAATAATTCGACGGAACAGATGTCGTAAACCTACACTTATAGAACTCGCCTATGTTGATTAAAGGATATGATTGTTTTTGAAAATAAACAATTTTCCTATTTATTACATATACACACATGTATAATATAATTTATCATGAATTAAAATCCGGTTAAGCTTTGTGAACCCTTTTCAAATCCTGTGCTATACTGAATTTGAAAAAAGTATGCTAATATCTAAACAGATAAGAAAATAAACAGATGCAATATTCCATATATACTATGAGGATACTTTTTACATCAACAATATCTATCATTTCATTTTATAAAAAAATAGGGATTTTGAGGAAACTACCAACATGCAATTTTTAATGAAAACCCTCTTATTTTATAACAAGTATTTCTCACTTGTTGTTCTATGATATGTTATGTTTGTTTACAGAAATTCATTACGATGGAGAATCTAGTGGCAAAGCGTTGTCTTTCTTCAAACACTGAGAGATTAAGCACTTCAAATGTTATGCTCGTTCTCCAAAACTTTACGTAAACGTTCTAGTATTCAAGGATGAACACTTTTGAACCTAAGGTTTATGACCCTTTCTGTTGGTCTGTGTATAACGAAATTTTCAATCAAAACAATAATATCAAAACAGCAGAACTACTGAATAAAAGAGACGAGCCAATTTTTACAAATACCAAATGGAAGCGTCGTTCATAGCAAAATTATTTACCTTTTGGTTGCATTTTATAGAAAACGGAGATTTTGTGGTATATCAAGCAAAGATTTTTACAGGAAATCCACAGACTATTTGGGTTTTCGTTATAATATTTTAAATATAAATTACTCACTTATTTGTCCATATTGTGCTAGAGTTTATTGTCGAGTCTCTTAAGTCGAGCGCATCCTGGAAGGAGTATTTAAATAGGTCATATATTTGTACTTGTTTTAACTAATATCTTTATCAAAATATCATTGCTAACACTGCAGGCTAAGATCGAATGAGCTCTTAGAGATGCACTTCAATAGGTACATACTTGTACTTATTTTTCATTAATATTTATATTCGTAAACTTGTCTTCAGGAAATCATTGATAGCATTGCATGCAGTAAAATTCTCTGTTGATTTAGTTCGCAATTTTCTAATTTGGGAGTGCTTATAGCCTGTCGTATTTTAGGATTGAAACAACGGGTGGGTACATTTAAGGATTCCATATACCATTTTGTTGTTTCATTTTGTTGTTTCAATGCTAAATCATAGAAAATCCACGGCATTTCCTCTTAAACTTTTGGATTTGACAGTTCGGTTCTTAATCGATAAATGATAATTGCTTGCAGTGCTAGCAATGATTACCCTAACACTAGTTTTAAAATATAGATACTATTATTAATTAAAATCAATTACCAGTATGACATATGCAAGTACACTTTCTACGGGTGCATTGTACTTTAATGACTCAGCATGAGAGTTTTTGTATTATAAAGGTTGCTTAGAACTTTTTGTAAACAATAAACGTGAACATATAATGGTTTACTTTTATAAATTGTAACTTGGATGGAGAGTTGTCTCATTGGCACTCATACCACATCTTCCTATATCTATATAACACGGAAAAACGAATGATTTATCACCTTTTAAAAAACTATAACGAAATGTTCTGTAATAAAGTCTGAATTTCCGGTAAATATCTTGGCTTGATTTGCCACAAAACACCCATTTTCCATTAGATGCAATGCAGCAATAAATTGCTCTGACTGGCGTTTTCCTTTGGTATATGATCAAAGTTGCAAATCATATAGTTGTGTAATAGGAAGATATATATATATATATATATAGGCTTATCTTAATCTATATAAAAATAAGGAGATTAGGTATGCTTGCCAATGAGACAACTATGCATACCAAATGTAAAAAACATTTAACTATTTTTACTTTTATATTTTAGCTTGAATTGCAGTGATGCCGTTCCGATGAACGACGAACAGCTTTCGTTTCTGCGACGATCAACAGTTGAAGATAGCGACATTGACAAAATTACAATTCCTGTAAAGAGATGGGGACGCTCGTACGGCTATCTATACAAACTCCTTAGGAAGAGTGGCTTCCAAGTAAAAAACAATTTTTTTTTTTAAGTGAATTGTTGCAGGCTGTGATCCTTCATTTTCCTGATTTAGATTAGACCACAATGATGATATAGATAATGTCTAATTCTTTTTCTTTTTGTTCGTTTCTCCACCTTTTCAAAACCATACCGTATCTGTTTACTAGATAGAGGATGGTTAATTTTGATTTCGTTTCAATAATGAAAAATCTGAAGACCTTCTTTTAGGACAAGCACTATAGATTTCAAAAAGCCTGAATGAAAAAGGCCACCTGTCATGGTAAAGTTATATCTTATTTTTTTTAAGCTTCTGGGTCTCACCTTAAATAGTTTACTACATGAGAGTTAATTATGGGTTTGAATATTGTCATCTACAATATTGAAGAAATATATATGTAGGACTCGGAGGTGCGATGGGGGCGCTGAAGTGCGATAGTCACGCTAAAGTTCGATGGTCTACACCGAAGTGAGATGTTCTACTCGCTGATGTGCGATGGTCTGTCTATATGACGCATACGCATAATGACTAATTTAAAACCTACGTATATATATGTGTAATTATTATGAGAAGTGGATGTTGTTATTAGTTAGTATATATATTTGCATTGATTATTGTCCATGAAACATTATTAGCATTTCGGTCTAAATTATATGAATGTGTTTAGTTGAAATAAAAGAATCGTCAAAAGAATTATCATCGCGTAATAAGCCTGTTTACCATAAAATTCTGATTATTTGATAATCATATACTGTTTGAGTACCATCAGTTAGTACCCTGCTGATATTACTGTTTCATCTTTATCTTTAATGCACATCTTTTTAAACGGTGTTTGCAACATTTGAAATACAAGAATATATTTCAAATAATGGATGTCCATACTGATTGAGAAATCGTCCTCTTTAATTTTGCTGCGTGTGGACATAATTCTGCGTTAAAAGTTCATCTTTACTATGTTCCTCTCATAATATCAACTTTTACCGTACTATAATTGTAATACGGATAATCTAAGTATGAGCTGTGTTTAGAGAATGACACGCTCCGTCGTACGTAAAGAAAAACCGTTTGTAGATTTCGAAAATAAGAGGATCCTCTATACAGAAGGCAGTGGCGGATCCAGAGGGGGGGCGTAGAGGGCGTACGCCCCCCCCCCCCCCCCTTTGCTTGCATTTTTTTTTTTTTTTTGTAAAATGATTAATCAGACTAGACTTCGTGAACTTTGCCATTTCCCGTGTATTTAATTTTTATGCGACAATTCTTTACTTATAAAGATATTGTTCGCTCGTATTTACTGTAATATATTATTGATTATGTCAAAGTCATGTGATTCTCTACGCTGGAGTTGACCAGTTCGTCGAAAAAAACGTCATTTTGAAATTCAAATTACAGTAACACATTGCTTAGGCTGAGGATGACAAGCATGACGCCTTCAAAGCGACAAAGTATTGAGCAAGAACGTATTGACTTCTATTTCACAATCCAACCCAACAGAAAGTAATACTCTATTACACTCTAATGAAAAAAAAGTTCCACATCAATATTATTTACCTACGAAAACATGTTTAACCCCACACGCCCCAGCCCATTAATAACATTGCTGAATAGTGACCCCAGTCAGTAAGCTCTAGATATAGATTTAAAGTCTAAGGTACGGACCATTTGATCTGAGGGGGCAGTCTGAGATATTTTAGAGAAAAAATTCTGACCCGGATTTTTGCCTTAAACAAAAATTCTGGCCGTATCTGGATTGAAAACAATAATCTTGTCCACTTTTTTGCTATTAGAAAAAAATATTTTCAACAGAAATATTTAGCATTATGAATAAAAAACGGGCGAAATTTTTTTTTGGGGGTTGCATGTGAATCCCATATCTGACCGGAATGTCTGTTTCGTCGAACTGATATACTGAATACTTTTTTCAAGGCCCGACTGCAACCTGCCTGCTGGGTGTGGCCTATATGTCTCCATGTGTCGACCGTCATTCACAACTTCATTGTCATTTCCGACTCATTCGTAGCCTTTAGTTCATTTGGAACCCCTCACTTCCCTTGTTAGGTGAAACATTTCAACCAAACATTTGGATGAAAATTGCTTGTTTGTCTTTCTTCGTGTCGGTCGTATTGAAAATTTCATTGAATAGCCGTATATCTTGTTTACAACAAGAAATCTGTGAGGTTATGCTAACTAACCATACAACAAACGAGAATTTTCCATGTCCATTTTTTACTGACAAATCCCACATCAAATATATTAATTAGTACATAGCTTTGGATTCATCCAATCATTTCATAATAGACAATTGATGGAGAGAATACGGCACCAAAAATATCTAACCCCTACACTTTAACTATAAAATGCATTTTACACTTATTTTATGTTTCCAAAAGGTCCAAAATTTTTTTCGCCTCGCTCCGTTCGGCAAACTTTAATACTCCGCCCCCCCTTTCCAAAATCCTGGATCCGCCCTTGAAGGCTAAATTTTCCCCTCTCTACCAATCGCTTCTTTTTCTCGTAGTATTAAATATTAATAAACCTCTTAATAACCTTTTCCCCTGTGGAATATGCGTAAAATATTTGCGACCGGAACTTTAACATCGGGCATCCATCAATCTATTAATCTTTTGGTTTCCAAAATAAGAGAGTTATGTTTTCGATGACTACAACGAAGCGGCTATTAAAGGATACATTTCGTGTCCCTTCCAAACGTTCCATATTTTCTCTAGTTGTAGTAAAAATGTCTACGGTGATCGACCTTATTACGTGCTGCCATTCACAGCAACCGAATAGATTTGTAGCTCATTAAGTAGTATTTACATTTCAAACAACTATCACGATTTTCATTCCTTGAAATTAGGACTGGTTTTAATTGAAAAGTACCATTGCATACAGCGGCATTAGCGGTCAATTTCTGGACGATTGTATGAATGAAATGACTATTTATTATGACTGTTTTTAACTAAACAGGTTATACTTTTGATGTTTACTTTTAAAAAAAATTTCTAACACACAATTTGACTTTTAATTCGACTTGTGAACATGAAAAACATTGAAAATATGTTTTATGTAAATCATCGCGTTACCACAAATTTAACGCACTTCGGCGTAGCTGTCCTATCGACAAAAAAGCGTCACAATTCTACCATCGCACTTCAGCGAGACCAAAGCGTCAACCCATCGCATTTCAAACGATTGCAGTTCATTTATAAAAGATTGAAAAGTGAAGCTATTTAATGATGAAAGAAATAAAAAATAAAAAAAACTTCGTACATTTCGTTTATTCAAAACATATTTTAACATGTTTAATTTCGAACCCTTATCAAACCTTTTAAATTTTCAAAAATTACAAGTATTAATAAAATCAACTTATAAAATTGAAACATCTCGATTCAGCTGGAAATTGAAATCATTCTAGCTTCTGAGCGTTTATGTAAACTTCGCAAGAAGGAAGTTAAAGATGAGGGCATGGTCCTCCTCGCATATACAAATGTACAACTTGTAGAAAACATATATGTTAAAGAGCTTTGTTTTGCATATCCTAATTTTAAACAAAAATGTAATCCAGAAAATATGTTTACATGGCTAATGGGTTGTGAGGATCCAGAAGTTCTAAAATAAAAACCTATGTAATTTAATAATCCGTCTCAGGATAGAAAGAGAATATTTTTTTTGCAATGGAATATGTCCATATTTATATTTTCTTTTCATTAATATCTATATTAATAAGCTTGTCTTAAGGAAATAATTGAAGGCATTGCAGGTGGTAATTCTCGGTTGATTCAGTATGTAAATTTTCAAATGTGTGAGTCCTTTGAAAATGCATGTTGTTTTTCTGTAAAATGTCCTTATATTTTGCATTGTTTGTCGGTTTATGCTCAAAGCCGAATATTTGAAAACCAAGGATGTTTAAAAACTGAAACAGCCGAAGAGCTTTATGACCAAAAAGGACAGAAAAATAGCCAAATCCATTTAAAGTCAACTTTGCCTGAGGGAGTTGGAAACCTTAGTTTCTTTTTGGTTTAAACAATATTTTATTCGATAAGTCAAATCATGCTATATAATATAATACAGTATAAACAATGGGATTCAGAAACAAGCAACATTGCTTATTTTTCTGCCTGAGGGAGTTGGAAACCTTAGTTTCTTTTTAATTTCAAAATTTATAAACAGACAGTTTTAGAAAGGGTTGTTATGAATTATGTCAGTACCGAAGAACTGACTACCGAGCTGATGATACCCTCGGTCACTGATAGTCCACCAGCAGAGGTATCGACCGCTTTACAATAACTTTGAGGATATCTGTTTTCTCCGTCTACGGTTTGTTATTTTTAGTAGCTTATTCATAAAACTACACGTGTTCAGTGGGAAAACCAATACGAGAAACTATTTTTATTTTTGTACATGTGTGTGCTGTCTTCTCGATGTATTGGCATTAAATGTTTACATTGGAGTAAGGTCCGTTTGAATTTTCCTAGTAACTCAATTTGAAAAGAGTTAATCTTTGCTGCATATCAATCGATTGTGTTGGGTTTTCTTTTCCTAAACTTCTCTGATCTAGCAGCAAACATATATATTGCAGTTCTCTCCACCTCACATTTTAATAATAAAGGTTTAAATGAATTATTAGACAGATATGTTAAAAAGTAACCTTCGTAAACAAAAACGGTGTCGAAAGATAACTCACATAGATTCCAAACGTATGTAGTTTGTAGTTCTATTCTTTGAGATAATCACCTATATTGATACTTACGGTTTAAAATAGTCACTTCATGTGTCAACTGACAGCTTAGTTTTTACTGATTCCAAAAATACAAAATTTCTATGTATTTCCATTTCAAATTAGGGAGATAATTGGCTATTTCCGGTGTACAAAATGCCATTTCCGGTGTCATTTATTTTTCACTGAGTCCAAAGAGAAAAAGTTCATATATACTTTTGCATGAAATAAGATATAATTTTCTACTTCTGGTTTAATAAAAAAAAAACGCCACTCCTGCTTTCAAATGAAAGGTTACATTACACTTAATCAAAAAGTATGGTTTCAAGGTATTTTACATTAAATAAGTGCAAAATAGCTACTTTCGGTTAACACAAGGTCACATGAGGTCCTGTCCAATTGCAAAAGACCTTATGGTTTTATCATGTATCAGTATGAGGTAACATAACAAAGGTCAAAATCTAGAACGTGGAATAGACCTTTAACCTTGACCTCAATTTCTAGGTCAGAGGTCAGGGATATCAAATTAAAAGACCCCAAGTCTAGAATATGCATCATTCAGAAGTTATCCTACCAAACACCTTATGTTAAATATCCAGGGTAAGAAAACTCCTACGAAATACTAACAGAGCACTTCGATTCAACTGCATTGGCGTTGCGTCATTATTCAACAGTTACTGATAATTTGTCAAAAAACCTTATGTCGATAACTTTTACGGTTTCTGAAGAGTTGTGATAGCAAGCAAAGTTCAAAATTTAGAACATAACCTTGACCTCAATTTCCTGCTTATGGACAAAAGACCTCATATCGAAGGCATCTAGGTATATGACTAACGGTTTATGAGTTAGACCAACATACCACACATGTCAAGCATAATAAGGGAAATAACTGTTATTATTTGTAACCAATTTAACATGATCCCGAGGAAGTAACGTATATTTTGGAGAGAAAAAATATACGATATGTCTCTTACTCTTTCTGGGAAGAAGCGATAACAAGAAAATCCGTATACGGGTAGATAACTATTATATGGAAATGTGTAATGTTAGAAAGGGCGAGTTTCAAAAGCGTAATAATTGTTCGATATCATATATCAAATATCTTATCAACATGTGAAACAAAAGCATGTAACGGAAGAAAAACAAATAATCAGAACAAAATCAAAAGGTCTTTCTACGGAAAAGACTTAATAAATTGAGATTGGTATGCGAGGAATTAATACGCATAGTAACATTTTGAAATAATTCTACACAAAACCCTTACAGTCTGCTTTTCTCGTGTTTGGTTTTATTTCAATTCATTTTAATTTTAACTATAAAACTGTTAATTCAAAAAGAACCAACATAAGAATAAGAAAATGTGATATGATTGCCAACTATCAAGCCGAGACACAATGACGTGTAAGTTAGCAATTTTATATCACTGTACCATCATCAACAATGCACCAAACTCATACCGCATAGCAAGCTATTAAATATGTAAAGGTTTAAATATATATCCATTCTAAGTTTCTTCAAAGTTGAATATTATTCGAACGATTCGTTCGATCAAACTAGAAATGAAAGTTGATATTTCAACATGTTTCTTTTCTTTAGAACTAAACATTAGAAAATGTATCTGTATTTCAGAAATCCGTCTTGTGTCCCTTCTGTATGTAATCTATCAGCACATTCTACAATGCATCGTAACCCATTATGCGATAAATCAGTTTGAATTTTGTTATGTAAAGAGAGATTACTATTTTGCCGAATAAAAATAATTATACATGTACACTCTCCTGTGCATACATTTATCATTTGTATATATACACAATTTCAATTTTTAAATTCCTTGCATATACTATATAATATCCCTCATTTAGGAGCAGGATCTGCTTACCCTTCCGGAGAACCTGAGATCACCCCCATTCTTTGGTGGGGTTCGTGTTACTCAGTCTTTAGTTTTCTATGTTGTGTTTTGTGTACTGTTGTTTTTCTGTTTATCTGTTTGTCTGTTTCTTTTTTAGCCATGGCGTTGTCAGTATATTTTCGGCTTATGAGTTTGAATGTCTCTTAGACAACAATTAACATATTTATTGAGCCTTATAGTAAAATAATCAGAATTTTCAAAAGTTACTGCATTTGTCACCAAACTGTTCTACTTTTCTGGAATGACTCCCTTTAAAATTACTTGAACAAAATGTTTGAAATTAAAGTGACCTAAATCGGCATCCTTCTTCTGCACTTACGATAGTATTTCGGATGTCATATCTTTCAAAACTGAAACAAAATATCTCGAGATATGTCAATTATTGGAAAGTGTTACAAAACATTTGAAAAAAAAACAGTGTCGATTTTATTCATTAAGGTTATGTTTTATTCTAATAATTATTGCATATTTATTCAAATATAGCCAACATACTGTGAATTATTGCAATATTCATATTTTGAATTAGTGTATTATTGCATTTTATGGGAATCTGCATTGCCTTACAAAAATACTTTTTTCGGAAATTTTCCTGCGGCAGGTATAATAATATAACATCAATATTTTAAAGTATAATAGTCCTTCATTTTTAAGCATTATCAGGTGTTTTTTTTCTGTGAAAATACATTAAACTCATTAAATATGCGTCTTTGTAGAGGAAAATTTGTACCATGCAAATTAAACCGATATCAAACTAGGTATAAGTAGAACCGCTCGATACAAAGATATTGACAAATATAATGCCTATCCATGTTAAAATTAGAATAGAGCATGGCATTGAGAATTATTTCTTAATTAGAAATTGCTAAAAGTTTGACTGCATGCATTTTTCTGACGCATTATCCATAAACCAATTATAAGTTTTGACTGTTTGAAATATTGCTATCTTACGAAATTAATTACAGTTGACACATTTCTGTAAATAAGCTGTCGTATCTGGAATACCTAATAATAACATTTACGGTGCCAATTGTAATGCTACATATGCGTAATATTGACACACAATGGTTTGTTTGTATTCCTGGTGTACGCCATTGAGGATTTATAGTAACCGTTGAGTGTGTTAGTTTGTTAACCCGTCCGGCATTCCACTTTGTAGGCGAAACTCCCATACCTTTATTTGGATTTCAACGAAGCTTCAACAGAATATTAGGTACCTTAAAATCTAGAAAAATGTTTCGTTCGCACGAAATATATAAACTGCTATTTCATTTACTAGCACTGGATACCATTACTAATGGATTGTTTGTCCCCGAGCATATCATCAACTCAGTAGTCAGTGTTTCAGTATTGTTATGATTAACATACCTTTCTAAAATTCCCCGTTGAAAAATTAAGTCATTATTTAGAAACTAAGGTTCCTATTCTCTAAGGCAAAGTTGATCTTACATCAATATAGCTATTCATTGTATGAACTTTTAAGCCATTCTTACCGTTTTTACGTATTTATACATCCTTGGCTCTCAAACTTTTGGCATTGAGCGTTCCTGATGAAGAAAAATTCATAAAAGCGCTTCGGACGCAAGAAATTTATAAAATGTTGTTTTCTTTTATCACTCTTGGTAGATACCACTTGTAGTGGACTGATAGTCCCCGATGGTATCATCGGATCAGTAGTCACTGCTTATCGACTGACTTGATTGATTACAATACTTTTCTTAAATTCCTTAAATTTAAAGAATATAAGGTTCCAACTTCCTCATGAACATTTTAGCCGAGATGAATTTGGCTATTCCTTTTAGGTCACATTTGGTCATATATCTTCTAACGTTTGTTCGTACTTATACATCTATGACTTTCAAATTCTCTAATTTTGAGCATTCCTGATTTCAATCATACCACGTGTCCTTATTTTTATATACTAATAATATAGTAAAGGGATATTTTCTATCTGCCCATTACGTTTTGACTTTGTTCAATTGGAAAACTACAAAAGAACACCGCTCAAGTATTGAGATGTCTTGTGAAAATTATGTCTAATTATACATATAGGTAGGTCTAGTCGAGCATCGCACCTCTAAAGTATTGAGACGTCTTGTATAAGTTATGTCTAATTATACAAATAGGTAATATTGAACGAAAAGTCTAGTCGAGCATCCCAATTCACTATGAATCAATTATTTTGCACAACAGAATAAGTTCGTTTTGAGTTGTTATATGTACGTAAAATTTGTTTATGACACTTGTCAAGTTTTGATATCATGTCTTTTCCAACATCAAGCGGTCGTTTTTATTAACTGGCGAAAAGACAATGCAGATGAGGTGTTCAAACAGCATACTTTACATATCGTATGTATAAGACATTAAACAATTTATTGCTAATTGTTGATTTTTTTAAATTTAGAGTAAATAAAATTTAGTCAAGCATATCTTGGTCGGAATATACATAATTCAATCAATACATTACATATACCGGGGTAGTACGATAAAACTGCTGTAAAGTTTGTTTCCAAATGCATTTTGATATAGAAAGATATAGAAAAAAAAAATCATCAATTGACATTATTTAGTTAATTATTTCCTTTATACAACATACTAGTATGCAGTAAAGTAGTCCATGTATATCTTAACTAACAAACCAATCAATAGCTGAATTAGAATTGATGTGTCCTTGACTCTGGTGCACACCAACAGTCCATCTTGTTTCATCGACTTTACCAGCTGTCGTAGCGATCATAAAATTCCAAAAAGGTTTAGATCCAAATGCTACATTATATAGTCCATCTTTTGTCAACCCTATCGACTGAATATGTTGTGCACCAAGATCATTTTCATCAGGACTTAAGTCTGCATTGTCAGCGTTAAAGACAGCAACATAATCATTGTTTGGTTGATTAGGAGATTTAATAGTGAATCTGAGCATCTTCCCAGCTTTAACACCCTGTATCAACGACGCCTTAGATCCATGTGTAGTTGTACCTGTTTCTGAATTGGAATACGCGTGTACCCAAGGCCTAGAGTCAATAAACCACTTTGTTGCTTGTCTATCATTGGAACTGCCCCGGCTGGTGTGTGAACCTACGTTGTAGCGAATGGTTTCTACATTTCCAGTTGTCGCAACATTTTGCCAATACCAGTATGCGTTATTCTGAAATTTCTGTAGATTTGCTTTCGATACGTGACCTAGAACTTGCGCAGTAACATGACCGTTTCTTATCACTAACTGATCAGCTTCAATTCCGTACGTATTATCTGAGTAAACCAGCCTCACCCTTTTGCCAACTAAAATAGCTGAGCGCAGAAATTCCAGGGAACCATCGATTGCTTCTCCATGTTTATCATTTTTATATGCTAAGGTCCAACATGTATCAGCAAACCATTTCATCGATACTCTGTCATTAGAATGTCCTCGGTCAGTATGTTCACCAACAGACCATCTTGAAAGATCACGTGTTCCATCGGTTGAACATAGATTAAACCACCAATACGCATTCTGCTGGAATTCTATATGATTTGCGACAATTGTCTGACTTACATGCCACAAATGTGTTCCAGATACTATTGTTTTAGCCTTATTATATGCTATATTTGAAAATTCAAGAGCTGCCCCTTGTTTACCATTTACATGAGAAACATGGATTTCTGCACCGTTACCAACAGCTCTTATTAGATGTTTTATATTGCCACAGCTTGCTGATCCACTGTCTGAGTTGCAGAAAATGGGAGTTTGAGGATTTGAGTCGGAGCTTATTTGTCTAAAAATAGATAGACAATTAGTCTGGCAATTATTATTTAGTATACTACAATAGAATGCAAAATCAAAAAAGCACCACACAAACATAACACTCTGATATAGACTATTTACCAAAGCAAATTTATAATTATTCGAATTGTTGATTTTATGAAGTTCAAAATGCAAAATGTCCTCAATGACAAATGTTCACAGTATTCTTTGATTTGTTGTATTATGACAGTTTCAATTGACAAAGCCATAACAGAATATCATAACATTAACGGTATCAAATTTACTGTACCCGATGGACATTTCGACCATTAATGTCTCTTGATGCTTGAGGCCGAAATATTTGAAAATCCTAACCTAATACATACTTTGAAGAAATGATCAAACCAAAAAGGACATCAAGTACAGCCAAATCCTGACAAAGAATCAGAGCTTTGCATTATGGAGATTCATTTCTTGATTTAATGCAAGTGAGCCATAATATTTATCTGGTTAACCCACCCTCTCCCCTGTAATGAGTTATCAGATAGTTATTTTTTACTGTATATACCTTGTAAACCATCTGGCACTGTATTTAACTTTGGTTTCTGGTGTTGATGGTTGAGCATGCGATCCAACATACCACCGAGACATGTGTACATTTCCAGTGGTACATACGACGAGAAACCACCAATATGCTTTAGTTTGATGTTTATCCCAACCATTCTTGCTTATATGAAAAAGTGACTGTACACAAACGTCGCCATTAAGGATGTACGCAAACTGGGTATCTCCATAATAATTTCCAAAACTGATCCGAACTTTCGCACAACTCAAAACATCCTGTCGAAGTGATTCTTTACTGCCGGATACTACATTGCCTTGTTGGTTGGTCTCTAACTGTTTTATCCATTCGCTCCCACATGTCACTATTAAAGTAAAAGGCTAAAGTGAGAGGACATTTATACGAATGCAATATGTTGATAACAATTACACGTTGAGCATTAATGAATAAAAGATATTCTGTATACGTCAATGAGACCGGTGTTGCTAAAAGGCGGAATACGAAACGGAAATGGAAAGAAATATTTATTTGGACGGAATTTGAGGCGAAAAATGGCGAGAACTACGAAAAACAATAAAGATTGAAATATAACGAAATCTTAAACAAGTATGTAGGATATATCAAGGAAAAGAGCAAACAGTTTTGGAAATACATAACAGCTAAAAAAAAAAAGTACAGGCTGAGGCTCAGGGACGTAGCTAGGGATAAAATAAACTGTAGGCACAAATCGCGGCACAGCCGTGGTAGGGGGTTTCGGGTTGCAAAATTTTTAGTACAAAAAGCATAAAATTTACTGGTAATTTTATCATGATCATATACATGAAAAAAATGGAAGAAATAAACATAACTCTGCAATAACATCTGACTGATGATTTAACCAGCAGCACAATCGGAAATATGAAAAAAATAATTTTTGAAATATGCTTTGCCCATGCAGCGTAGATCAGCGCAGCTCTTTATTAAGCTGCACACCCTGTTTAGTATTTTCATATTTATCCCTCTCTGATTGAGGATAATTGATATATACCCCAAATGATAGTACATATTGACGATCCTTCATTAAAAAAATAGGCACATAAACACCGACACTACTATATGATAATACTATCCTTTGGATTACGCATCGACCATTTACATCTTAAACCTTCACTCTCACCCAGTTACACAAAATCATAGTCGATGCCTCATGCAGAAGTTCTGTTCTGTGCATACTATCTATCAAAATTTAATAAATTTATATTTTCTGATATCCTGTACTGTAAAATCCCTACTTGTTTATGATGTTGAATAATTATGGTCATTATCCGTAGATGTGAGAGTACTCGAAGTTACTGAAAGCTAGTTTATTGATTGATTTATTGCTAAACGCCCAGTGACAAATAGTTACAACAGGTAGCTAGGTCTTGTAGCTAGGTCCTGTAGTAGGGATCGTCCAGGATGAAGGTCTGGAAATTTGGAAATGCCATGCATTAGAAAATGAGGGTTCATTGGATAGGAACAGAAATTTTGCCTTTCAGTAGACCTACGAACCCCTCAATGAGTTGTTGCAAGTTTCTTAATGTGCATAGAGCTTGGCATTCTATACACTAGGCATCGGATTTAACGACCCCATACTGACCAGACGTGACTGCATATTTATACATCCCGCACAGCCAAACGGACGCCGAACTTTGGCAAGGGTGTTATTGTAGGTCAGATGATGACCAAGTGGAAAGCTAGTTGAAAGCCAACAACAACTAATTAAAAAAATCATGTATCTAAGAATAAAATGTCAGGGTTTTGCGCATGTTGAGGTTCATTGAAGTATTTGTTGATAGAAGTGAAATGATCTGAACCAAGGTTCTAGTTTTTAGTTTCTATATAAGGTGGAATATAATGACATACAATTCTATCTAATACTCCATTCACTAAGGATGATAGACTAGTGTACAAATGACAATTGATAATTAAAGAGTTTTGACAACTTCACGTGAATCTACAGATAATGTTGTCTATTTATTATATATAATTTATGTTTTTTAATAAAAAAAAAAATGTGAAAAAATTATGTGTAGGCACGTGCCTAAAGTGCCTAACGGCAGCTACGCCCCTGGGCTCTAAAGAGCATTTGTCGCTCATCTAGGTTTATGTGCATCTTCAACAATGGAAACTCTTCAACATTGTAGACTTGAATAGATTCGTGACAAAAATCTCATTTTTGTTGATCTTGAATTTCTGACCATTTTCTGTTTACATCTTCTTTAGTTTTTACCCATAACACAAAAGAGGGTAAAAAAAAGTTGTCATTTAAAGGCAATCTCTCATATGAATCACGAGACTTCTTACTATTACGGCAAAATTTGAAAAAAAAGAAACCGTCTAACAATTTTGACATGAATGGACATTATGTAGAGCTTAACATTCTGATCATTTCTGCCCCGTCATTTTTTCTTTTTTCATAGCAGTTTTCAAAATAACAAACAACACTTGCTTTATCATCCCTATGTTCTATTTGTAGTCATGTCGGCCATCTTGATTGGCAGGCATGGTTATCGAACACATTTTTTTTTTAAAGTAGATGCACCAATGATAATTGTGGCCAGTTTAACCAAAACTGTCAGACGACTTCTTGTATGACATGTGTTCGGTAAAACTTGGCCCAGTAGTTTCTGAGCAGATTTTTGTAAAAGTTAAAAACGACGAAGACGGACGCCAAGTAATGATATAAGCTCACTTGGTCGTTGGGCCAGGTGAACCAAAAACAAAAATAACTCTCAAAGTATACCACCACTCATGTGAGACTATGGCAGGTCTTCCAGCAGAAAACGACCTTGACGGAGCAGAAGCATTGAATGAACAATTCACTATAATTGTATCTTCTAAGAAGCCGTCAACTGAATATGCACCACTAAAGAAATCATTATATATTAAATGAATAAGCACCCATCATTAGTCACCTTTTTCAACAATCTATCAATACCAGCTCAACTCAATACCTGATGAATGGACAACAGAAGACGTTTGTCCACTTTTCAAGAAGGCTGACCATTTGATACCGCCAAATATCCTTAATGTGCATTCTCTGCAAGATGCTCGAACGTATGGTATGCACCAACATAATGCGACACCCAGATCATTGTAATATCATCAATGAAAAATCAAACACAAACTTTTCATAAATATCACAGTCGCAACTATGTACTGTCATCATTGATTGTAACAAAAACATCTATAAAGGGCAACAAACAGATATATTTATATTATATTTTGAACAAGCCTTCGACACAGCCCCACATGAACTACTTAAATCAAAATAAAACTGTTACGGGGTATCAGGTAAAACACTATGTTTGATTGACCCATTCCTGTGCTACCGCAAGCAAATTGTCGTGGTAAATTGGACAAAATCAAACTGATCCACCAGGCGTTGATTCTGGGGTACCCCAAGGCACTGTCCTGGGTCAGGTGTTATTTAGTCTACATATTAATGATATTTTGGATAATCGAGTGTTTGACCAGTGGAAACACCCAAACGATCAGATGCGTAGTGTAAAATTAAGTATCTTTTTATTTTATAAATTAAAAAAAAAACAACAGAGAATAATGATTTTTTTCAGTTATCTTGACACTAAAATCTTTAAAATCTATCGATATGAATAAGAGTAACTTTCAAATTTAAACATTGAATTTCCTTTAGTGTGAATAAATAAGTATTCATGTCTATTATGGCACGTCAAACATTTCAATATTCAAAAAAAATTATTTATTAAAAAATAAATATGTTCAAAACTTACAAATAGATATGCACAATTTTATATACATATTCCAAAAAATAATTTATGTTCAAAACTTACAAGTATATATGCAATATTTTTCTGTTTATATTCAAGAAATCAAAAATTTGTTCAAAACTTGCAAATATATATGCAATATTTTTCTTTTCATATTCAAAACTTACAAATATATATATTTAAATGATTATAAATCATTAAATGTTATATTTTACATGACAATATCATTTGAATGTTGCTGAATTAGCAAAACATGATAAAATAAAGAGCATGATGCGCCTGTTGCTCTTTCAACGAATAAAGTTCCTTAACTACTCAATGTCAAATCATAAATTTATAATAAAATAACTAAAGGGTGCTTATTTTAATAATATAGACCAGTCACCAAAGTTTCATGAAAACCGACCAAAGCATTTTTGAGTTACTGTCCGAAAACTGGAAAATTCCCCCTTTCTTTTATGAATAAAATCCCTTATTCAGAAAAGTATGATCTGAAATGTATAAAAATTGAAAGGGAGCTTACGTCAATAGATATAAACAATTCACCAAAGATGCATGAAAATTGTTAAAGCATTTTTGAGTTATTGTTCGACACGTTTACGACGGACAGACAGACGGACGGACGGGGAGACGGACAACAGTAAACCATAATACGTCCCGTAAACGCGCGTATCAAAAATATTGTATAATGTGAATTAAGATTTTTACATATCTTTATAAATTTATCAGTCCTAATGGATGCTGTTTAACGCATGGAGTCAATATGCAACCAAAGACATGACAGTCAGTCATCTCCTGAAGAAGAGTGCCCGAATTTATGGACCGTCCGTTTGAATACATTTTGTCAGTATTGTAATCGGGTGAGAAAGGCTTTGTATAGTGAGTGACTTTGTCAGGTTTTACATAAAAGTAAAGTGTATCCAAGTTTCTATGTCTATTTCCCAGAATTCCTTATCGGTTGTCGTCCATACTTCATTGTCCCATCGGGTTTCTCTTACGTTTTTTTTCCTTTATACAAGGAAAGATAGAAGGAAGATCACCAATGCAGAACAACACAACAAGATACACCACATCACTATAATACTTATTCAAAGCAATTAAAAAAGAAACAAAGAAAAATTAATTATGAAATTTTTAAAGCATTTCCCCCCAAAATGTATTACTCCACAACCTATCTAGAATCGAGATGAATGTCCATATTTATAGGCCGTTGGTAGATTTTTATTTTGTGTTGTTGGGTTACTGTCTTATTGACGTTTATCCAACATCTCTTTTTATTATCTTTATTTTTTTTTATGGAAAATAAGAAAAGTCAAACAGACTATTAAGATGAATCGCATGGTCGCAAACTAGAACATAAAATAAATGAACCAATACACCTTATCGCTTTTTATTCCTATCCGGATAAGTTCTAAAATATCACAACTTTCTAACCAGTTCAAGCTATCTGGGGCCTTGTTCAAACAATGTATTGTTCATAAAACTGTTCATAGAGACATGTTTAAACCATAGTAAATGCATCAAACAAAGCATTTTTAATGACTTCAATTTGTCTTTTAAAATTTATTTAAAATGTCCACTTTCCAAACTTTTTTCTCCCTCAGCTCATTGCTGATGACCTTTGTTTTGGTCCGCTTGACCTCAACAGGAAACAGGAAGTTGTCTAAGTAACTGTTTTTCCCGGATTGGACTACAAAGCGATAAGGTGTATGGAACAATTGGTTTACGCAATTAAATTACGTACAATATGTATGCCCTTATTAAATATTTTAAAAACATAGTCTCATCATCTCCTGCAAATTGTTTTTTTAAATCTTTTTTCTTAAATGTATTCCACTGTTTTCTTTCTTTTAATGTGATATACTGCATAAAACATACCTGTGTAGATAAATAACCAAAAAGAAAAGTATAAATGTTTTCTTTCCGTTTTCCGTTTCCTTTTCGTATTCCGTTACGTATTCCGTTTCCGCCGCTTAGCAACACCCCAATGAGACAGTTATTTGACGAAAAAAAAAAAATAAGTGCACATCATAAATGACTGCAGATAAAGTAATTTGCTATGACTGACATTGTAATATGTTGGACAGAGTAATTTGCTATGACTGGGTTTAACATTGTAATATGTTGGACAGAGTAATTTGCTATGACTGGGTTTAACATTGTAATTTATGTTGGACAGAGTAAATTGATTCTTTGTGTCGTGTTTAAGAATAATTGTTGACCCAGTTGTCATATTCGTAAAAACCCACATTTTGGGACCAACTATATTTCGATCCTTATGGCTTAGACACCCTTAGAGCAATGCAAAATCCACTGACATAACACACCACAAGGTCTTTTTATACAGAAGTAAATGATGAATTTCCACACAGAGAGAACTAAAAATTTTAACGAGTAATGTGTATGTTCAAGTGCAATTTTAATGATAATATTGGCATATGTAGATAAAAACTCGCAGGAGCTACCATAAATAATAAAAAAAAAAAAAACAACAACAACAACAACAAACAACAAAAGTGCACACTTAATAAACAATGCAAGTGTTAATTCTGGACTTGCTGAACCTAATTAAACTAGTTGTTTGGAATGTAATTTTGATATATTTCTTTATAACACGATGAGGCCAAAATCTTTAAAATCAATAACAGCCTTCATGCTGTGTCTATCAAAAACCTTGTGTTGTAAAGGTCGATTTACGGATTTAACAAATGGATGACAACCATGATGATACAACTGAAGAATGAGGATAATGTTTCCTTATGTATTTACTTTTACATTAAACACCGATATTTTCGTTTTCAAAATACCGATAACAATCTTTACGTGTACTTTTTACATCACAAATGCAATAAAATCAAGATTCTTTCTTTGGATTTGATTTTCTGAAGGATTTATTATCTATACTTCATACGAATATTGAATTCAAATGTTGATGGCATTAACATTGTAGATGTATTCATCAAATATGTGTGTGGTTTTTGAGAACCAATTTTACATACATTTTAAATGTTTGAAATTTCATGTATTTATTTCATATGCTGAATAATGATTCATTACTGGTTTCAAAAATTAAGGTAACACCACAGAATTTGCATACGAAGCAAGTATTAGATACACCTTGAGAACGTTAGCCCGATTGGGGGTATCTAATTTAAACGTTTTACGTTCATTTAACAACATCTTTGTGTAAGTTATGCTTACAAATCAGACTCATCTTTGATCACTCTCGGCTGTCGGTGACTTTTGCTTGAAATGAGAAAAGTGAAATGATGTCTGTGTACCCCGTTAGTATTTTAATATCGGCTTTTGTTTCCTTAATAACACTGTTGTTTGATAATCTATATAAGCATATTCATCCCGTTGCTGTTATTGGTGAAACAATATGTATTATTACAATAGTTTAGAGCCCTTGACATCATTAAAAATGTCAATTATTGCTGTTCACCTTCAGGGGTTGAAAATAATGCAATCAAATTACTGTTTGTTTGTTCCATGGCTAAGTTACAGAATTACACGACCTTTGGTATAAACAAAAACAAGAAAAAGACTTACTTCCATTTTGTTGGCAAGACTCCACTGTTATAAATGAAATGCAGATTAGGTAAACTGTTCCACTCCAAATCATGATTCCTTGCAGAAGTCTACAAAAAATGGAAAGCTACAAAAATACTACTTCTATAAATTTAAACTGTCCCTATGTGTTGTCAACATACAAAATGTATGACGTTATTCCAAATAAGTTGCTGTAATAATATGTATATGTGGTGTTGATGTAATGATTACGTACTATTTTGTTTAAATCTGTTTGTGCTGTGTTCCTTGAATAACATTCACTTGGACTATGTGTTCACGTTTCGCCGACATTTGACAATTTAGTATACAGATAAATAATTATTTGTTGGAGAAACGTGATTTTTTGTTATGCAATAAAATTTACCTGTAACTAGAATCACATTTGGATGATCTGACGGATCGATATTTAAGAAAAAATTCAAAATTACAAAATGTATTTATTTCATCAAAGAGAATTAATATACCAAACAACAGTGATTTAAAACAAACGATTTTACATCCGTTTTAAACAGCAGACTGTCTCAGATGGAAGACTTCCGCTCGCGCCCTATGCGACACAAGGCACTAACGAGAGTTGCAAGTTGTAAGTAGGTAAAACAGCAATAATGGACAAAAACACCATACAATCTTCGTTTATGCTCAGGAAAATGCTTAAATTTGATAATACACATTTTGCGCTATTAAATCTTTAAATCAAACACAAAAACATTATAGATAAAAAACTTTAACTTATGTTCCGAAAATAATAAAAATGCTTTAAATTACGAGCATTTTGATAATATTATACAACAAAAACTCTGCACTAAAAAATCCTGAAATTAAACACAATTACAATTTATAAAGTCACAAGTAATGTACTGAACACATATAGTGAGTCTATAAGCAAAAATAACATTGAAATACTAGTACACTACACACTACTGTCAAATTATGATTTGGAGGAGAAACTAGGCTTGTCGGTGTAGTTCTGAACGATAAGTTCACCTTGGAGAAATCGTTCTTTCAGTGTTGACAGTCAGATGTTTATGTTTCGGTATTTCTTGGGTGTGAGTTGCTGTGTGACCCAAGCTGCTACTTGTATTTGCTTGGCTTCTATGTCACCTTTTGTTTCTTGAGAATTTCTATCAGCACTTTGATGTTTAGGTGTGCAAGATTGACGAGATTTTTTAGTTTGCAGTGATTATTGTTGGTTTCTCGTTCTTATATTTTCCATTGCTAACGGTTGTTTCCTTCATTCCAGTACTCTGTGACATAGTCGGCGAAAGCTGTCGTGTCGATGGCAATCACTTCGGCGTCTTCCAGTGTAGTAAACCATATTTTTCAACTAGCTCTGATGGGACAAGATGTAGAACTGTTGCACGTCTTATTAGTAGTTGGAAGTCGTCGTTGTCTTTGTAAGCGGTTTCGAGTCCCAGTTTCTGTGTGATATATTTTTGTTTTAGATTATAATCCAAAGATGAACAGTATTAGAAGAATTTTTATATCCCACGCATTTTGTATTTTTCTTACTTTAATTTTGATTTGAAATTTATTATTAAAAGTATAATATGATTATTTATAATACACTTTATACAGGTCTCACTATACCTTCGCAATAACAACACTTTACTAGTAACTGCTTTATAAACACGAAGCTCATCTATTGTTTGACACTTGATGGATAAACGTGAATCAGATTTTTCAAATGTTGGTAAACCGTGAACCGTGAATATACCATTTGGAAAGATTTTTGAAGTTCAGATTCAATAAGTGCAACAGACAATGATTCATTAATAAATTGGGCACCACATTTATATAACCTTACGAATAATAACAGAATGACGAAAGAAAAATCAATGAAAGAAAACTACGGATATAGTAGATCCCCTATCACTATGGATTCTAATGATACTGGATCCCTTTTATATATACATTTATCTTATGTTGTGTCTAACTTCTCCATTCGCTGACTGGTGTAAATAAGGTTACTTAATTAGATTTAAGCGCCAAATTAATCTGCGAAGTGCGATATTTTTGAAGTGTTGTCATATGCTGCACTTTTCATTATAGCCTTTTATAGTGTTGTAAATATTACATTACTATACATAAATCAAACAAATCCTGTATTTGGTGTTGTTGATTTACAGCTTATATTAGAGCAAATACCAATAATGTCAAAGCTTTAGTCAAATGCCAAAGCTTTAGTCAAATGTCAAAGCTTTAGTCAAATGTCAAAGCTTTAGTCAAATGCCAAAGCTTTAGTCAAATGTCAAAGCTTTAGTCAATTGTCAAAGCTTTAGTCAAATGCCAAAGCTTTATACAAATGTCAAAGCTTTAGTCAAATGTCAAAGCTTTAGTCAAATGTTTGAGCGTTTCTGATCAAGATAAAGGCATAAAAGAGCTTCGGTTTATTAAGTGTTATTTTCTTTGAAACTAATATATTACAAATGGGTCCTATACATTACGAAATAACAACGCATAGGGTTAAAATACTGTAAATTAAGAAATTACTGCGAGGTTTTTGTCTCGCCTGCGACGAAAGTGGCGGAAAGCGCGACATAGGGATTGCTTTTCCGGCGATGGCGACGGCTCCGGCGTCAACAATTGTTAAGTGTTCTGCTTAAGTTAGTATGATAGGAACTACTTGTGATAGATCATTGATATTTAATATGAAGTTGCATTACTATCAGTACGACTATTTTGAGGCATTGCCCCCTAATCCATGGTCAAGTGACTTTGAATTAAATAGCAATTTTAAATGTGAAGTTTTCTGCTTAATTTAGATTGATAGGAACTACTGGTGATAGATCAATGATATGATGTTTGAACTTGCATTGCTATCAGCACATATCAGTTTGACGACTATTTTGATGCCCTGCCCCCTAGGCCATGGTTCAGTGATTTTCAATTAATTAGCTATTTTCAATGATAAGTTTTCTGCTTAAGTTAGTTTGATATGAACTATTTGCGAAAGCTCAATGATATTTTCTATAAAGTTGCATTGCTATCAGTACATATCAGTTTGACGACTATTTCAAGGCCCTGTCGCCTAGGTCATGGTCCAGTGACTTTCAATCAATTAACAATTTTCAAACCTTAAATTTTCTGATTAAGTTAGTTTGGTGTGAACTACTTACAATAAATTATCTATAAAGTTACATTGCTGTCTCTACATCTCATTTTTTCAACCATTTTGAGGCCCTACCCACTAGTTGGTCCAGCGACTTTGAATTAATTAGCAATGTTGCTGTCCGTCAGATGTCTTTTTCTGAATTTTATGCCGACAGGCGAGACATATTTCTGTGTCAACAGTTTATTATTAATGCGAAAAATGCGACTGGTTGAGTATCGCAATAATAAGAACTCGCATTCTGATATCTGATAGATATAGCTGTATACAGATTTTCCAGATATCCCAATAAATAATCTCGCATGTTTTTCAAATCTTTTCAAATCGCAATAATAAATGCACGCAACAATTTCTGAGTATGATGACTTACCTCAACAATGATAAGTCTTTGTTATTGAGGACTTCTGTTAAGATCGACCTCAACTACTTTAGAAGCTTGACAAAGTGTTTTTGACACTAAATTGAACATTTATATTCGTGAACGGAAATCCTTTACAAGGAAAAGTCAAATTTGATATTTCTCCAATAAATTGTTGAAAAGTATAATACAGTTAATGTAGCAACACAAATATCATAATCCCCAATAATATCAGCATATACAACCACAAGATTGATAAAGAGAAAATAAGTATAGATTTGATAAGCAAAGAACAAAACAACCCAGACAGTCCGACTCAATACTCACTCTTCCTTTTACCGGTCTGATATAATACAACTTTCCCCTTACCCTTATGACCTTACTGACTCAGTACATAAACCTCCTTTTCCCTTATGGCCAGTCTGACTCAGTACTCACCACTCCTCCTTACTCGTATGACCAACCTGACTCAGTACTAACCACTCCTCCTTACCCGTATGACCAATCTGTCTCAGTACTCACCACTCCTCCTTACCCGTATGATCAGTCTGACTCAATACTCATCCCTCCTTTTACCGGTCTGACTCAGTACTCACCCCTCCTCCTTTCCCATATATTAGTCTGGCTAAGTAAAAATATTCCTCCTAACCTTTTTGAGCAGTCTGACTAATTTATAATGACTCATCTCTACTTCTTACCCTTATATCCAATCTGAATCAATACTCATCCCTCTTCTTTTCCCTTTTGGCCAGTCTGACTCAGTTCTAGTCCCTCCTTCTCGCCCCTTTTACCAGTATGACTGAGTATTCATCACTCCTCCTTACCCTTTTGACCAGTCTGAATCAGTACTCATCCCTCTTTCTTACCCTTTTGACCAGTCCGACTCAGCTCTCGTCCCTCCTCCTCACCCTTTTGACCAGTCTGACTGAGTATTCATCCCTCTTTCTTATCCTTTTGACCAGTCTAAATCATTACTCATCCCTCTTTCTTACCCTTTTGACCAGTCTGAATCAGTACTCATCCCTCCTCCTTTCCCTTTCGATCAGACTGACTCTCTTTTTGTCCCTTCTTCTTACCTTTTGACCAATCTGACCAGTCTGATCAAGTACTCATCCCTCCTCTTTTCCCATTTGACCAGTCTGAATCAGTTATTACGATTTCCTTCTCCTCATCATTTTGACCAGTCTGATTCAGTACTCATCCCTCATCCTTTGTTAGCAACTACAGGTCACCCCATGGCCTTAAAACCCATACCGCAGAACAAGCTATTAAACCCCGACATGACAAATGTAAAACACCTCAAACGGGAAAACTAACGGCCTGATTTACGGAAAGGTGTAAAAAATGTTTGAAAAGAATTGACTCATCAGGTTGTCACCAAGCACATACACGCAAAAAAACTTACAAAAAGACTTAAGAATCAAAGTACTAATCTGAGAGCACGCGAAAGCTAACTTATAAAAATAATCATGTATTCAAGACTAAAATATTAATCAGTACAAATCCATCAGTATTGACATAGTTTGTAATATTTTTGTTTAATTCACCGTTGATGAATTAAGAAATTATTAAGAAATTAAGGTTCAAACTCCCTCAGGCTAAGTTGACCTTGAATTGTAGCAGAGTTTGGCTATTCTATTTTATGACTCACTTGGTCATATATCTATATGTTTCTATGTTTTTATACATCCCTCAGTTTTGATTTTAAAAGTATGGGTGTGAACGTTCCTGATCATATCCAGAAATCAACGCCACTTTGCTTATTTGAATATTATACTAAAGAAATCGGATACGGGTCACGGAAATTATATTGAAATGATAGGTAATTTTGAAAAAAATGTCTATTTTAACTTTAATTTAAGTGATAGACAGGTTGCGGGGACATAAAATAAATATTCACAACAATATACACCATTTAAACGAAACAAGATGACTGTCGTTGCAAAAATCAAGGTTCCTGAGCTATTTTAAAAATCGAAGCGAGAGGCTTTTTAATATTGCAGTATAAAATACAGCCTAAAATGACTGAAACGTCAAATTTGCAAACTTCGTGTTGAAAATTGGCTAACAAGGTCATTACAAAAACAGGTTGCGGGGATGAAACTTGAAACTTGAATGTCCACAGAATAAGCAAGTCCAAACCTTGTATGTGTAGTCGTTGAACTCTAGGTTCCCACGTAAAGTTAAAATGCCCCTTTTTTCAAGAAGAATAAACTCACGAAAACACGAAAAATTCACTAAATTCGCGTTCATTGTTTTGATTTTGACCGCCTGACAACTTTACGGAAATATCAGAGGGATTATAAACAAGGACTCTGTGACGGGCAACTTATAATATCCGTGTTTTAAAGATTTTAATGGTATCAAGCCAGTTCAGTTCAAACTATTATCACGTGGTAAAATGCTCATTTACATATTATGAATATTAATCAGCAAAAGTACTACTAATTTCTGGCTATGTTGAGGTAAATCCAGAAATATGAAGGTCTTTCCACCATCGAATTTCAAAATTATTGATAAGAAGTCACTTCCGGTTATCAAGGTTACTACTGGCGTCAAATCATAGGTTTATTCATACTGGTTCCAAAAATATATGGTTTCTATGTACTTTTGCTTGAAATAAGGGAGATAATTTGCTACTTCCGATTAAGAACATGTCACTTCCGGTCTCGTTAGATATTTTATTTCACACTGATTCCAAACTATATGGTTTCGATATACTATTGCCGGAAATAAGAGAGATAATTTGCTACTTCCGGTTTACAGAAGGTCACGTCCGGTTTCAAATGATAGGTTTATGCATACCGATGAAAAACATATATGGTTTCTAGGTACTTTTCCGTGAAAGAAGTGCAAAAATTGATACTTCCGGTTGACTCAGGGTCACATCCGGTTGAAATTGTTTAAGATCAAAAGTCTCCAAACCTAATGCAAAATATCCTATATGACTTTGTCATGTACCAGTATGAAATTATAGCTAAGGTCAAAAAGTTAGAACGTCAAATTCTCATTTTACCTTGATCTCAATTTCAATGCCATAAAGGGAGGATTTCAAATCAATATATCCTAGGTCTCTCTATGTATGGTTACAACTTATTTTAAAATTTTCAGGGAAGAAAACTCTTATAAAAAGGGACGGTACTCTTTTGACTAAAATTTTAAATTTACGACTTGTCGCAACGAACTATTTGGTAAAAAAATTTTGTCATGATTTTTTACAGTTTGTGAGGTAAAGCGAAATCGATCAAAAGTTGAAATTTAGATCATGACCTTGACCTCTGACCTTGACCTCAAATTTCTTTTGATGGACCAAGGACATAAAATCAAATTATCCTAGGTCTCTATAAAAAATTGAAAACAACACGTTTAATAATTTCTTGCGTCCGAACTTACAGTTCATGAGTAACATATATATACCACCATGTCTTAAACAGAAGGGGAAATAACTTTCATATGCAGTCTCCATATCGCTTTGGACAAAATTCAACAAATTAAAACCTGAGGATATAACGAGCAATTGGAAAAATAAATTTGTCAATTTCTTTAACGGTTGCGAAGGAGTAGTCAAAACAAGAAAACAGTGTACGGTTTCACAGGGTCAACTGCGTAAGCGTATTCATTATTCGATATCATGTACCAAAAATATTTTCGATATCTTGCCAAACAAAAAAAATCTCAAAATCAAAAATTGGCGGAAAAAAAAATAATCAGAACATAATTTAAAGGTTTTTCCACAGGATAGTGGAAAGACCTAACAAACTTCCTCCTGCCTAAGGCAGAGTTGACCTTAGCCGAATTTAGCTGGTTTTTGTGTCCCTTTTCGTCAAATAGTTCCTAACGTTCTACGTATTTATTCATCCATTGCTTTCAAATGTTTGGGTTTGAGTATAATATTTATGGAGAGTTTAGAAAAAGATTACTATTTTATAATTTTAATTGTCTCATTGACTTATATCCCGCACCTCTCTTGATGCATAGAATATGTCCATGGTATACTCTATCAAAAGTTTTCAATATAAACATACGATAATCTTTTTAATCATGAAAATATTTAATATGATCTTATATACTTGTAAAGTCGTTACAACTGAAATTAAGAGACAAGAAAGAATGACCCTATTGTATTCATAAATATATAATTATTTAAAGTGTACTTCATACCGCGTTTGCGCGTGGTTCTTTCATATAACAACTAAAAAGAATAAGGAATTACACATGTAAACGTTACACACTAGTCGCACCTGGACGTATATGTATATATGTATATAAACTTGACATAACAGCTCCCTGTGTTTAGCTTTATGCCTTATGTTTGTATACATCCATGAACTGACAAAATGACTATTTTTCTTTTTTCTTTATAGTAATTTCATTTTATAGGGCTGTTTTTGTTCAGGTATTTTATCCCTTCATTTGATATAGTGATCATTTTCTTACCTTATTGAATCAATATGATGTTTACGTTACTTAAGATCGTACACAATGACAAATTATTTGTTGTATTTTGGTTTTTATAATAATTTGTCTTATTGTTTACAGGCATAAACTTAAAACGATGTGTGTCATTTGACCGCTAATTGCTTATAGACGTAAGCTGTTTTCCAAGAATTGTTTACTTGAATTGCTGTTTGTTTTCTTCTTACTGTTTTGATTAGAAGAAAAGAAGATATATTTCATATTTTGGAGAAGATTACTACCTACCTGACAACAACTTTTAGAAATAACAATTAGACGTTCAAATAAGGCCGTATTTTAAAAGAAATACCTAGATGTTCAATCCCTATCGATTTTTTCAGAGCCCCAAAATTGTTATTTATTTTTTTCTATTTTCTTACATTTTGATAGAAGTTTCAACTCTGATTTTAAAAAGCTGGACGAGAATCTAGGTATTTGTTTATAATCGTAATCGAAGAGAAAAAGGCTTTCATGTTTTTGATGGCGATAACTCTTTATCAAAAACATTTCGCTATTAATTTTGAGTTTTCGAAAATTTAGTTGGAATGTCTATACTTGAGTTTTTGATATTTTTTCGATTTGTCATTAGTGGGTTTTTCAGCTTTCATTAAAAATTGATAACCTTAAAAAGTTTATAAATGTTTCAAAAAAGCTGTAATGAATATGATATATTTGTACACTAACGTTTATGTATTTTATGATATATTTCTACACTAACGTTCATGTATTTTATGATATATTTGTACACTAACGTTTATGTACTTTATGATATATTTGTACACTAACGTTTATGTATTTTATGATAAAAAAAAATCATATTTGTACACTAACGTTTATGTATTTTATGATATATTTGTACACTAACGTTTATGTACTTTATAATATATTTGTACACTAACGTTTATGTATTTTATGATATATTTGTACACGAACTTTTATGTATTTCATGATATACTTGTACACTAACGTTTATGTATTTCCAGGCATAGATGTGGAATGGATTTATCCAGATTAAGTATGATTCTATTTTTAAAATTTCAGTGATCCTGAACTTCCAAATTAATTTGGCTCTTCACATGTTTCTGATTTGAGAGCCACCGATGTCTTCTAAAATAGACGAAATTATATGTCGTTCTTATTCATAAAACTGGACCGGGTATCTCTGATATATTTTCACTTTGTACTTTAAAGATCACAATGTTTTGACAAGGTAAATGCACAAAGAAATATCGATGATCTCTTGGATAAATGGGAAATCTATTTTCTTACTCTAATAGAATAGAAAGTATAGGCCATTATAAAAACATAATTTAGTTTTGGATGTAACACGTCTTATGATAAGCTGAAAGTTAGATTTAACTATACAAATCCTTGGAATAAGCAATTAAACAAGAGTTTCTGAATTGTGGGTTTCGAAATATGCCGAACGTACAATATGAAATCAATAACGTTTAATGTAATTTGTGTAAAAAATAATATTATACGATAGGTCTTACCCCTCCTTTCATTGCTTAGTCATTTTAATACATCTTTTAACGTCGCGATAGACTAACTAAAAAAGTACTGTTATAATAACAGAATGTCTTTCTTGCATTTTTTTTATTTTTATTATTCATCTTCCCACTTCGTATTTACAAATACTGCATGCTCCTTTATCCAAGCCATTGTTTGTCTTTTTCAATGGATCAAGTATAAACCTAAAGTTGTGCTAGAATCTATTATATTGGAAGATACAGGAAGCTAACAGTTGTAGAATGAAAATAACAGACACCGATTGTTGCTTATTCATGTTAACGGTATCGTATTTATATTAGTCTTACTCCGTGAATCGAGGGTAGGGACGCTTAGTCGGTACTAAGTTTTTCACCTGGAAATGATTATGCCTATGTACATATTTTAATGTGCGAAGCGTGTGTGTTAATTTTCAACCTGTGTATTGATGCTTTGATGCTTTCACATAGTTTGCACTTTTGCACTGTGTGTCTCTGCTCTGTGTACAATGAACCACTGCTCTTTGTACTGTTTGTACAATGAACCACTGCTCTTTGTACTGTTTGTACAATGCGCATCAATCGGTATCGACGTACTTTAATTACACTGCCGCCAACTTATTCAGGTCTGCAAAAAAGTCTGTTGATGCAACAAGTACATTATTCAACAACATCTCTGAAAATGAAGGAACATCTCCTTGTAATCAAGGCGGTACCACAAGTCTTAATCAAGTGAGAGATTGTAGAACCAAACTCTAAATATAGTGGCGATGTTGCTACGATAGATTTAAACCACTATTTCGGAGATTTTTTTAATTCTAAATAGATTTCCGTAGTGAATATCAAAATCCACAAATCAAAATCGAATGTAGATAAACTGAGGTATAATATGACTTTTTCACTTTATTAATGTGATGTTGGACACTAGAAAACCATATCATACATGTAATGTATTAACATTCAGTAGAGTACGAAGTATTTTTTTAATTTTTAGAAGCTTTTAATATTTTGATTCAAACCTTCCTTTCAATTAAGTTCTGTATCTCTTTTCAGCAAGAGTGGATCAAGGGGGATGTACCTCCTTTATGGCCGGCATATGTGTTCTTAAAGAACATTTTTCAGATTTTTTTCCGGTCCCTTTAACTTTTGGCTAGTTACTTCGACTTTTAAAAATCAATTATGAATAATGATTAATATGTTATAATTAAACGAGGCACTTAATGAATACTAAATAAATAATAAAAATAATTATTTCAACCTCGTACCATAATTTGAATTATGCCAAGCCTAACAAACTGAACACTCAACCAACTTGTTTAATATAAAAATCAGAAGATGTGGTATGATTACCAATGATACAACTCTCCACAAAAGACACAGAAATTTAAAACTATAGGTCATCGTACGGCCTTCAACAATGAGTAAAACCCATACTGCATAGTCAGCTATAAAAGGCCCCGAAATGACAAATGTAAAACAAATCAAACGAGAAAACTAACGGCCTGATTCATGTACAAAATAATGAACGAAAAACAAATATGATATACAGCAACAAAAGACAACCACTGAATTACAGGCTCCTGACTTGGCACAGGCACATACAAAATGTGGCGGGGTTAAACTACTTTGAAGGCGTGCCAACCCTCCCCTAACCTGGGACAGAGGTGTAACAGTACAACATAAGAACAAACTATAAAAATCAGTTGGAAAGGGCTTAACTTATTAGATCGATCCAAAGTAGAAATACATCTAACCAAAACATAGTGGACGTGGCAGGGTACTTATACATCCCGACAACAAAAAGACACTACGTACAGATCTGAGAGTACTCGCAGTTACTGCCAGCTAGCTCAAAGCCAATAAAAACTAATAAACAAATCATGCATTTAAGACTGATTGTCAGCCACATCGCCTCCAATTGGCACCGCAGGTATTCTTCACTGTTTTTATGACAGCTACCGGTAATTCCGCTCAACAATCATTCGCAAATTCATCTTGTGAAGATGCTTTTAACACTACTGAAAGACACAGAATCTTGGACTCGATACAAATTAAAAGGCAACAATAACCTCTGACTACTCGTAATACATGCAACAGTTCTATCCCCTTATCACAGCAGAGCTAGTTGAAGAAGTATGGTTTACTACACTTGAATACACAGAAGAGATTGCCGTTGACACGACAGCTTTCGCCGACTTTGTCACCAAGTACTGGGAAGAAGGAAACAACCAGTTCAGCAACAATGGACGACGCACCAATAATCACGTAAAGGCTTTAAATATTTGTTCATTACTTTAATATGAATTTTAATCGTTGTGTCTAATTTCACGATTTTATAGTGCAAAAATTGTTGTATGATACTATTAAATTACTCGTAAAGTTATGCATTTTTCTCTGCATATTTTTTTGTCCGGTACATAATTTGTCGTTTTTGTAAATTAAACTTTAAGTATAAACAATATTTTATTTAAAAACACTTACAGCAATACAATGCAAGGATAAAATTTGGGAAAAAAGTGACAGATCACTTATACAAATTACTTTCCCAATTATACTTTATGAGCTCATCTAAAAGATTTTATAGTTCAGAATTTATTTTCCTCAAGTTAAAGCATTTTCCTGAGTGCAGAATTTCAAATTTGCCTTGTAGTGTATTTATCCATTACATGACTGTTAAATTGTTTGGTTGTAAATCACTGTTTGAATAATAGTGCTCATTGATGATTTAATTTTTATTTTCTGATTTTGACCTTTTTCTCAACTATATCATTCCATCAGATCATTCAAAATTTGATTTGAGCTGGGTCCCCGGTAACTCTAATTACAGGTAAATTTCATGTAAGAATTGAATGTTCTATTTATAATTTTATTTTGTGTATGAAATGCGGAAATACTTCATATTACAAATGTCAGCATGATCAACGGTTTTACAATTCTTTAAAATTATAAAAAGAAGCATTCAATTTACCATTACATGTTTATGATACAACCATGAAATTAAGAGTTATATCAAGCTTTTCGTTTGTTTTTCAATATATATATTATTTTTAATATTGTAACGGATAGCACTTGCGGGCATAGCTGTTGTATTTTTTACGGTAATTAAATATGATATTTGAGTTGAATCACAATCATTGTCAGCCTATCAAAATTAAGGATTCTAATGAAACATACATGTACTGTAATTAGTTTTCATTGCACAAATATCACATTTCTCCAACAATAAATTGATTATCTATATACAAAAGTATCAAAGGAACACACATAAGTAAGTGCAAAGATACTGACTTGAATCTACTGATCAGGTTACCAATCTTCTTAAACAGGAGAAATACTATAGCAAAACACAACAGTAACTAACGATTCAGTGACATGTGAGCATATATTAAGTCGGTTTATATTATTAATGCCTATTTTTTTTGTGGAAAAGGTATGTTTATTTATTTATTTATCTCTTTCATAATGATCCTTTAAATTTGGGGAATGCGCGCAGCGCTGCGTAAAGATATATCA